TCTTCTTTCTCTTCCTCTTTCCCTCCCTCTCCCTCTCTCTTTTTTTTCCCTTCTCTCTTTCTCTCTCTCTCTCTCTCCCTTTCCCCCTCCCCCTCCTCTCTCTCTCTCTCCCCCCCCCCTCGCCCCCCCCGGTGTTTGCCATCGGGGTTGGGTTTTCGTCGCTTGGCAACGACGTTGTAAAACAAGCCGCCCCCCATGGTGTTTGCCATCGGGATTGGGTTTTCGTCGCTTGGCAACGACGTTGTAAAAGAAGCCAATTCACTTCGTGAACTCGGTAACCAGGTTACCGTTTTTTTTTTACCTCGGTTTTTTTTTTGGCGGTAACCATAATGGTGGTCGAGTAGATCATGTTGTGCGGGGTGGAGAAACCTCACTCCGCGAAAGGGGGATGATCGCACCACGTTGTGTTAAATTGGTCAAGCTTCCTCGAGGCAGCTACACAGTGCTTATAACTGTCTCTGGAAGTGAAAGCATCAGAAAATAAATTAAGTCATACGCAGCTGTCATCCGTACGCAAGGAAGTAAGCACAAGATGCCGAACACCCTTAGCAGGATGCAGCTCACCTTCATGCGACTCGCCGAATACCTCACGGTGCTTCGCGCTTGGTGATGTGAGAGCCTGGTCCGGTGAGAACCCGGCATGCTCCGTCCCGGTTTTGGAGGGATGCGAGGTCAATGGTCTAACGACTACGGCATGGACGACTATGAGTACACCCCCCCCAAAAAAAGCTGAAATTGTACTTTCGAGTAGGCGATCTGGACTTGCCAGAACGGAGGAAGAGGTATACCAGCCGTAGGAGAGAGGGAGAGGAGGATAGACACACATTTCCATGTGGCAAATCGGAGGAGAGTAGACCCCACATAGTTGGGGAGTGTGAGTTGTACAGGAAGGAAAGAGAGGATCTCGAGGAGGAAATGAGACAGAGAGGGTGTGACATGGACAAGTTTGGTAAATAAGACAACAGCGAAAAAACGATCGCGATAATTGGGGATAGATGGTGGGCACAAGAGGCCCTAGAGGACGGGATAAGATGCGCAAGAAATTTTTATGTAGTTTGTGGCAGAAACGTAAAGAGCTCCCAAATGTTGGTGGTGTCTCTAGTAGGGTAGGAACGGTGCTCCGTCTCGAAAGGGACGCGTGGTCAATGGTCAAATGACTACGGCAAGCAACAAATGAGTACGCCCCCCCCCACCCCCCCTCTCT